CTATACTGGGGACCGGACTTACTCAGATGAAGTAAGAATGTCTGCTTTGCAGAAAAGTCTGAGTTCTAGAATTCTTTTATGTTGTCTGAGTTACACCGTGTTTTCGTGGCATTGTAGTACAGGCCAATGCCCAGGGGTGGCAATCCAACTTACTCTGAATTACACACACATATATACCAGTGGTTCTGCCTGGCAGCGCCCCTCTGTGGGTTCACATATGTACCAGGCATCAGTAGTTGATGGCCAAATGCCCAAGAGGATTTTCAAAAGCATTTGGAGATCTGTTCTTCAGAGGACATTAGCAAGACAGTCTAGAATATCAAAATTGCTCAGCTGCCCTAAGCCTTTTTTTGGTAGAATTGGGGCATGGGTATATAATGTGTGTCATTGGCCTTCCAACACCTATCTGTCTTTTCCTCTCTCTTATCTCCTGTTTGCCTGTCCTGGTTCTTCACACTCCAGGCAGCTTCATCCTTCTAGCTTTTCCTAGCACCCAACCTCCCCTGTGACTCTTCCTAGGCTTCCCATACCTAGAGAGCCCAGACTCCAGAATTATGATAGATCATCAAGAAACAGGAGGTGCTCAAAAGTTGTTGTGTTTGTTTGTTTGTTTGTTTGTTTTGTTTTGTTTTGTTTTGTTAAAGCACAGTTTGAGGGGAAAGGGAAGTAGAAGGGGATTTAGTCACCAAACATGCTTGCAAAGACCAAGTGAAGTGAGGAACCTCAACACATTTCAAAGGGAGGGCTCTAGGCTGGAATTTGGAACTCCATTTCTGGATATGCTCATCTTTCCTCATCTTAAGACCATCCTGGGAGGGTCAAAATCAAATAAATTTTAATTGAGTTGAATTAATAACTTTACATGCCAGTAGACAGTTTTACATTTTGGGAAGAAACAAAAAAATAATAATAATTACATGGTAGAGAAGCCTCCAAAAGGTTAATTTTACCTGTTGTTGTTGAAGAGAAGACCTAATTTTCTGGACCAGGATTGTATTCCATTTCTTCTTTCTCAAAGACTTACTTGGAAGTTTAAAGATTCTAATGGTGGGTAGGAATTCTTTTGAATAGAAACAGAGATTTGGAAGCATGAATTAGCTAGGAAAGTGCTAGAAAAGTTAGGTAAGTCATTTCGGTACAGATGGAGAGGGAAGCATTACATATAAGGTGATTGGAAGAATTGCAAGAAAACTACCCCTGCCTAAAAGTCTTCTCACCAATTTGCTGTGATATCCATAGTTCATTCATTACACTTTGTCTTTGGGACGACCTTAGAAGTCTCAGTGTCCAGGAAGGAATAAAATAGACTTCCCTGTCTCCAGAGTTCCCTGTCATAGAGTTCCCTGAAAGTGTCAGAGCCTTATTTATTGCTAGGAAGTCTGGAGACGATGGGGAGATGGTGCCAAACTAAAGATAAACTCCTCTTGCTTTGTAATTTTGTTGAGCATGGGCCCTGCAGAAAGAATAAAATAATCTTGGTCACAAGGCTCTTGAAGCTTCCATAAGAGTAGAAATACCTAAGATCCTATACTTTGAGTGAATGGGCCTGCCTTTTCAGCCCTGAAAAAGAAGGTCTCTGCTCAGAACCCACGCAACGGTTCAGAGTTCTGATGCAAAAGATCGAATCCCTAAAGCAATTGTAAAGGAATTGCCTCTCCAGGTGGGATTTTTTTTCAGATTGATGGTAAGTGTCCAGGAGACCTAGGACAACTTGGACATACAAGGAATGTTTCTGTTTTTCCAGGGTTCTGTTTTGTCCTTGGCACTGGGTCAGTACCTTCAGGATGGCCTGCTACTTTAATCCCCAGAAGTCTTCCCAAGAAACTAGCATTTCACAGTTATTAAACTGTAAAAGCAACTTGGAGATGACCCATTTTAACACCCTCGTCTTACAGATGAGGACACAAGCGTGACTGAAACAACACAACTGCACAGTGCACATGGGGTTTGGAAAGCAGGAGGGCCTGGGTTGACCACTTGGCAGTTTTGTGAACCTGGGAACATAATTAAATATTTCTGAGCCTCAGTATCTTCTTCGTAAAGAATGTTCTTAAGGAGCGCCAACTCAAAGAAGTAACTCAAAACTTGGCCAGAATTATTATATCTGCTATTGCTTTTTAATTGAGACATGGTTCACATCACATAAAATTCACTATTTTAAGGTGTACAATTCAGTGAGTATATTCACAGTGCTGTATGACCATCATCACTATCTAATTCCAGAACATTTCCATCACCCCTAAAAAAAAGCCTGTACCTGTTAGCAGTCCCAGTTCTCCCTTCCCCCTAGCTCCTGGCAACCACTGATCTACTTCCTGTCTCTCTGGGTTTGCCTATTCTGGACATGTCCTATAAATGGAATGACATATGGCCTTTTGTGGTCTGGCGTCTTTAAATCTTGCATCACTTAAGTTATAGTGTATACTTCATTTTTTAATTGCTAAATAATATTCTGTTACAGGGATATACTACATTTTGTTTATCTAGTAGTAGGTTGATGGAAATTTGGTATAATCCCCATAGTTTTACATGGCTAGGCCAAAGCCAGAATGAGAACTTGGGTGTCTGACTCTCTCCCTGGTCCTGTTTTTTACTACCCCAACACTGTTTTTCATAACCTCTGGCATATGTGTTGCATTAAGAGTAGTGATTTGCTCAAAGAAACCCTTACAACCCGACTAATAACTACTCTTAGAAGATTTTATACCTTTATGGAAATTTTTCCAGGGTGGAAAAAAAATACACAACTCAACAAAACGAAATCTAAACGCTGTAGAAAAGTTGTGCTGAGAACCAAGTTTAATTTTCATTTACTAGACTCCAGTTGACTGCTTTTACCTGTTCATCTCACTGTATTACACAGAACAGCCTGAGATCTGTGTGGTACCCTTGATCTACCTGGCTTTCACGTGTAAGTTCATTACCATGGTTTATAAACCAGGATCAAAGAAAGTTTTTATTGATTCTGGAGGTGGTTTGAGGACCCCTCTCTCTGTTCACTCTACTTCATGGTAGAAATTCTTCTTCAGTGAGACTAGCGCTGTCATTGCATTAACCTGACCGTTAGGTGCGGGTGATAACGTGGCTTTGGCCCAGAACTTAGTACATTTCAAACACAGCTGGTCACCTCTCCTTATAACCTGGCTCCTTCTTGCATACGGACTGCCCCAGCTCTCAGGTCTGAGCTGCAGGCCTGGGGAGAGAGCAGCTAGCTTGGCATACTTGAAAAAGTTCTCCGCTTTTCACTTATTGAGGACATTGGCTTTCTCTTTGTGGGCACATGAAGACTGGAAGCAGGTCCAACTCGTTAAGGGTTTGGTTGTTGACATTCTTTGCTTGTGACCCAGTGATGTGTAGAATGTGGCAGCGTTCCACGGTGAAGGCATTTTCCTGGGTTCATCTGGGGTTTGCGTGTCCTTAGCTTGGGTGGCATGAGTGGAGGGTCTAGCCTAGCCTGGTTTCCTGACTTGGATCAAGTGTGGGTTTTTCTGCTGAAGCTTTAATGGTCCTGAACACCACCAATTACTTATCTCGTTGGGTGTTCTGTCTATGGTTAGTCCTTGAGATCTGGAGCCGTTCTTGTGGGTCAGGCTTCACTCGCTTCATCTCATTTATGCAATTTCCTGCTTCTGAGCGTTTGCTGCTCCTCAAGTGCATGAAACGCAACCCAAGCCGGGCTTGTCTGCTTTGAGCTAAGCATCCCTCTCCCCTCTCACTTTTCCTGGTTGACACATTTTCCAACAGGCTTCTTGGTCCCAGTCACCCCATGTCTGCATGTTTCTCATTATGTTGGGGTTCCTCTTAATGCGATACCCCGACTGAAAATGACACTCCTTGTGCGCCAGGAACCACCCGAACTAGAACTATTATCAGGAAGTGAACTTGACGCGCGTTCAATGTAGCGGACCGTTGACCGCTTATCGGTTGCATCTTGATCCCAGCCGGCACCCTCCCCCTCTGCTCTCTTCTCACTTCAGTGCTGTGAGGCAGAGGTCCTTCTTCTGCAGCTGATACTTTGATCCTAAGAGCAGAACCTCACATTTCTCCTCAGTCTGTTTCAGCTGTTCTTTCCCCCGGGGACTTGCAGAGTAATTGTGGCAAAAGCATATGAATGGAGGAGTGCCTGGCTGGCTCAGTCCGTGGGTCCTGCGACTCTTGATATCGGTGTTGTGAGTTCAAGCCCCACATGGGGCAGGTTCACTTAAAAAAAATTTTTAGGGGCGCCTGGGTGGCTCAGTGGGTTAAGCCTCTACCTTCAACTCAGGTCATGATCTCAGGGTCCTGGGATCAAGCCCCACATCAGGCTCTCTGCACAGCAGGGAGCCTGCTTCCCCCCCCTCTCTCTCTGCCTGCTTCTCTGCCTACTTGTGATCTCTCTCTCTCTCTCTGTTAAAAAAAAAAAAAAAAAAATTTTATAGGGGCACCTGGGTGGCTCAGTGGGTTAAAGCCTCTGCCTTCGGCTCAGATCATGATCTCAGGGTCCTGGGATCAAGCCCCATGTTGGGCTCTCTGCTCGGTGGGGAGTCTGCTTCCTCCTCTCTCTGCCTGCCTCTCTGCCTACTTGTGATCTCTCTCTGTCAAATAAATAAATAAAATCTTAAAAAAAATTTTTTTATAAACTATGTGAATGCGAGGCTTGCGTAATTCTAATACAAGGCATCGTTGAGGAAATGGAGAATTACTGCCTTTTTTAATCCCATGTTAAGATTGGCTCTGTGACTAGAAAAGTCCATTTCTGACTACCTACTGTAGGGTGTTTTCTTTAGTAATGTCTAGTTCATGGGGGTTTTGGTTTGTTCTGGGGTTCTTTTGCACATCAGCAATTATGTAGATTAAAACAATGGCATATTGAGCCTCTGTAAGAAGCTCAGTACCTCGGTTACCTGGGCAGGTGGGTAAATCACACGGGTCCCGTGTGGGCTGCTGAGTGCATCAGCCCAATGCACTAGTCAAGAACGCTGTTCTGGGGGTGTTAACCGGCACGTCTGTGTTTGTTGCAGTTACCTGGCTGAACAGTGCTGGAATGGCGGCTTCATCTACCTGATCATGCTGCGCCGGTTCAAACACAAAGTCCACTCTCCTTACAATGGCAGCAGTAGCAACAGCTCTGAACCAGGAGAGACACCGACCTTGGAGCTGGGTGACCAAGCTGTGAAAAAGGGAAAACGAGCAAGAAAGTTTGGAGTCATTTCCAGGCCTTCTCCCCAGAAGGCCACTGAAGAACCCAAGAGCGGTCCTGGCTGTGAGTTGGACAATGACCCCATCTCTGAGTCGGACAACGGCCCAGACCCTGAACTTGGAAATGGTCATGCTTTTGAGCTAGAAAATGGCCCAGAATCTCTCAAGGAGCTGGCTGGATCCCATCTAGACAGTTCAGAAGCAGACAGAGGGACGGAGCATAGCATTCCAAAGACAGATGCTTCTCTACCCACAAGCAATGACAAACGCCGCTTCTCAAAATCTGGGAAGACAGACTTCCAATCGAGTGACTGCCTGGCACGGGTAAGCTTTGCTTTGATTATAGAGCCTGAATTTTAAAAGAAATACTGTTGAAGTTGCTTTTAAGGCTTAGAAAATATATCTAAGATGGCCTTGTATTTAGAAGCCAACACATTTATTATGATAAATTGTCGGAGGACAGAACAGTAACAAAAAAAAAAAATTCAAGTCATTTTGTCCTACTTAAATAAAGAGCTAGTTGAGTGGTGCTAAGTGGAAAATTCAAGCCTTCTGTGGTATAATTTGAGTCATATGAGCCCCAGATAAAGTACTTGAACTGCATCATTATTTATCACTGCCGTCCCCAGTGGAATTGCCACGGCAAGGCCAAGGATTCCTGGTGGCAGCTGATAGCATGAACCTTCGAGCCTCAGCACTACGCAGGAAGGATGTTCACCATGCAGAGAAGCATCTGCTTTTCTTTTTAACACTTCAAAACCAGTGGCATATTTATGGGTTCATGTTATTAAATTGCTGAATTCCAGCGAAGTTTGGAAATTTCACAGAAGTCTCTGATACTATGATATCCAGCTGTGATGGTCAGGGTTAGTCTTCCCTAAAGACAAAGCAGATGTGGTATACTCTGAATGGTGCTGGGTACACTTCTAGCCCCAAACCACCTCCTTCGTTATAACCAGCATTCTCTCTTGAAGTGAAATAGCTCTAGGGTAAGCATGTTCCTTCCAAGATTCCTCTTGGCACATATTCTTGTGGGTTCCTAATGAAGCAGTTACTTGCTACGTGGTTTCTGATTGGTTTCCTCTCTGAGTCCCTCCATGAGACACCCTTTTGGGATGAAAGAGAAAGTTGGAAAGATAGAAAATGGGCACAGAAGAAGTATCAAGTTCAGCTTTGCATACTGCTGAAATGGTGCCCTGGCAGTGAATAGAATTTCTAGTAAGTCTGTTTCACGCATATCTCTGTAATCACAGCTGATCTGCTTAATGAGAGGAGAGGAATTAAAATAACCCCTCTCTCGGGGGACCGTGTTCCTTCATCGGAGGTTCTCAGTGATCTTCATAAAGCCTTACCCAGAGGAGGCATGATTTGTAGATGGAAGGTGTAAATGAAGGAGAAGAAAAAAGTAATGTCTCTATCAATGATTCTCTACAAACTTTATGGTCCCTCTCAAAAAAGAATTAAGGGCAATAAGATTATAATGTGTTTCTTATTGGTAATACTCTACTTGGATATGACTTTTTCTCCAAATGATTAAATTATGAATACACAGAAAGCCTACAGTGAGTAAGTTAGGGAGTGTTGGTTCTCTTAATCATTTTGAAGGTTTAAGTTCCAGAAGAGATTGAATCTCATATATAGTCCAAAGAACAGGATTTCATTTGGAAATAATTTGGAAATGACTTTAAAAGGAAAAAAAAGCGTTTAAGAGGCTACTATTCTCTGCTCATCTTAACTAAAGGCTGTAACATAAAATTGAATTTCTGGATTAGACTATCTGAAGGCTACACGTATCAGAGTTTCTTTGCCTGGTTTTTGCACTCAAGGTCAAATGCCCAAGAAGACATAAATGAAATGGTGATTTAAAAAAAAAAAAACAAACTAGGTCTTTTGCCTTTGGGACATTTTTCTAAAACCACGTGCCAACAGAAAGAAGAGACCTGCCCTCTGGAATTTGCATTCTTCATAACTATCTGTAATCTGTAGGCTGAGTATTGACCCTGGGTTATACTTTCCATCTTAGAAAGTCAGCATGGGCCACACATCCTTTCAGGCATGAATATATTTTAGCACCCTTTTCAACCCCAGAAGCATCATCGTTTGATGCACATACCCCGGATTGATTGAGTTGGCAAGATGTAGGTCTTCATAGCTTCCCCCACATCCAGGTAGCACCCAGATTGGAACCAGTAGACCGTCACAGAAGGTCCTGTAGGTTCTTGGGCTGAGGAGATTTTTATTTTTACTCTGGGATGAGCCCAAGGTCATACTAAAATGGAATTTCCAGGAAAGCAAAAATTAGGTATTTACCTCTTAAGCCCTTGGGGTAAAAAATTCCATTCCATTTGAATAATGGGAGATTAAACATGTCAGCATTGTTCTGTTTCTGCTTTATTAATGATTTAATATATCTACAAAGACTTAATAAATTACAGAAAAGGCTTATAATGATTCAGCCCATTTTTGTTTGTCAGATGCTTCTTTTTCATAGACTGTTATTTGTAACATGAAAATAAATCTTCAGTCTTTGTTTTCATATCCTCTTTCCCTTTAACAGAATTATAGGACACGTTTCCTCTAATAAATATCTTCTTTTTAAAAAGCCATATGTTTCTATAAAATATTAACACATAATAATACATTTGCAACCAGATTAATCTTTTAAACTATAAAAGTGGGCCCATTGTCTAAAACATAATCTCTTAGGACATAGATAAGAAATTTTAGAACTGAGGTCAGAGTTCCTTACTCCCTGTCTAGGGAAGACCATTGCTCATCCAAGGGGAAAGTTCTTGCAAGCCTGTTTACTACAGATGTGTGTTTTTCTAATGCGGCATGGTCAAAAATACATACAACTTAGTCACATCACAGTGAAAAAAAGAATCCTACTGTTTGCCAGCCAGGCAGATTTATTCATAGCTGGTGTGTGTGTCTATGGGTCCATTTGTGGTCTCCCCCTAACGCTTGTAATTCACCCTGTACAGTATCAGACCTCTCCCCTAGACCCTCAACAAGGCTGCCCCAGGCCTGAATCTGCAGGAAAAGGAAACTCAGAAGGCAAGTCACACCCAGGACATCTCCTGAGTCCTCCCTGATGTTTGCGTCAAGCAGAAACAGTACGAGGATGGTCCCAGTCTAGTAAGCCTCTCCATGGTCACTGGATGAACTTCTATCCTTCTATGTGGTAATGTCTCTCCTCAGTCCGTGTCTGCTCCTTTACCTCTCTCCTGCGCCCTCCACCCCGAGCTTTCCACCACCAGCCTATAGTACATCTCCATCTTGCATATCTCACATCATGCCTAAAACTCGATGCATGACTTTCCCGCACCGCCAAGCCGGCACTGGTATTCCAGGTCCCGCCACCTGTAAAGTTGCCCAAGCCAGAAACCTGAGATTCCAACTAGCAGTCTCTCACCTGGTTTGTCTAGAACTTTCCCTGGTTTTGTGCAGACAAGCCCACATCCCGGGAAATGCCTTCATCCCAGCAAATTGGAACAGTTGGTATCCTGCAGTCAACTGGAATGCTGCCCTCTTTCTTTCCCCCTGTCCGGCTGATCACCAAGTCCTGTCCGCCCTGGCTCCCCTTGGGGTCTCCCCACACACCTCACTCCTCTCTCCCACTCCTGCAGCTCTCTGTCTGGGCCAAGCTGCTTTCATTTCCCACGTGGGTGGTCATAGTATTCTGCTGCCCATCCCACTGTCCAGTGTCATCCCGTTATCCGCTGTCCCCACGGCAACCAGAGAGACCTTTCTAAAGAGCGCATCAGGCGCACACGTGCGCGCTCACACACTCCACAGCATAAGCCCTCTGGGTGGGTCCACTTTACCTTCAGAGTAATACCTGAACTCCGTAGCTCGGTGAGGCTCAGGAGGTCTTTCACTGTCTGATCCCTACCTAACCTTTTGCCTTCGTCTCTCACTGCTTTGTTCCTGCCCTGTTTGGGCTGAATTAGCCACAATTTTTTCCGAAAGACTGTGCTCACTGTCTCCTCTGAACCTTTGCTGCTCTTGCTATCCGGTTTCTCCTCCCCTCCCCCGTGCAGCTTAGCTTCTTCCATTTCTGGGGGACAAAACACCATGACACACTCCTCTAGGAGGCTTCCGTGACCCTTCTGCCATCTGTCCCATCTCTAGATATCTCCTCTTTGGGCTCCTGCGGTGCCCCTTCTCGGTCTTCATCAATGCATGAATCCCACATACTCCAATTACCGTGTGGCCTGTCGTGTCGCCAGTAGACTTGGAGGGCAAGGACCTTTTTATCTTTGTGTCCTGGCTCATTGCCTTGCACCTGTAGGTGCTCTGCAGATGTTTAGTAATGAAGGCATCTGGAAGCTCTGGGCCTGAGAGATGGGACACCAGGTTCTACCCCTAGTTCTTCCTCCCCCAATCTGTGGCCATCAGGCTGCCCCGTTCTTCCTCTGAGCTTCCATCTCCTCACCCATAAACTGAACATTTTGGTCTGATGACTCCAGAACCACAGCTCTGACATGGGTCACATATCTTTTCATTTCTGACTGATCGTTGTAAATAAGAAGGGACAGACAAACAGCCTCAAAATCTATGTCTGCAACTAGCGCCAGATGATTTGCTGTATTTGCAGTAAAATTCTAGTTGGATGATGTTTCTTCTCACATTTGGAGAAAAGATGCGATTGTGAAATATTATTTTTGGTTCCAGCAGAAGATGAGGTCATTTAAATGCTGCTGAGACAGCTCCCTTTAATGTACCACCTCTGTTTTGTAAATAAATCCCTTCTCTTTTTTTGCCTCTCTGAAGAGATGCCTGTGTGAGCATCATACAGTAATTGGCGTTTTATAGGAAAGGGTAGCACTTTGACAGCATTAATACAAAAGTCCATGGCAACCAGTTTTGCGTGTTTTGGCTTATTCTCAACAGGCTGACAGTCTCATTGCCCTTTAAGCCGGTGTAAAAGGAAGCAAAGGCTTGAGCCATCTGTCTAGACAGAATCTGTTTCAGAACTCAGTCGTCTCTACAACTGGATTGGGTGTTCACACGCTAAACATTGGCAAACATGCAGGTTTCCCATCTGGGCAAGCCTCTTAATGTCACTCTCAATAACTTCTGAAAAACCATAAGATTAGTATATAAACATCCTGAATTTGTTAATTCCGTGGAATTTATGCAATATTGTTATATGCTAGGCACTGTTCTAGTTGCTGGAGAACCCGTTGATAAATGAGAGACAAGGTTCTATCCCGGTGCATTTATCACAGAGAAGGGGCCACAAGCAATTAACAAGCAAATAGGTGAACCTAAACATTATGTGGTGAAACAGGTACTATAAATGAAACAAGCAGTAAAGTGAAAGGTGCCTGGGCTGCATCCTGGTGGGGAGTTAGCAGAAATAGGTACCAGTGAAGACCTCCTTAAAGAGGCAATGTTTGAGCTGAAGCCTGAGTGTCAGGAAAAGGAAGCCTTGCAAAATCTGGGGGCGGAATATTTCCAGGGAGGAGACAGCCCTTGCAGCTGTCCTAGGCAGGAGTGATGGAGTGTCCCCGGGGGCAGAGAGACCGAAGCACAGTGTGTGATGGAGAGAGCACGAGGAGGTGGTTTGGGAGCATGGGCGGGACTAGATGGAGAGGTTTGGGTGCGCCATCTCAAAGATTCAGACCCCAGTCTGAGTCTAGTAGGAGCTGTTGGAAGGTTTAAGCTGAGTGCATCATGATGTATGTATTTTAAAAGTTCACCCTAGAGGGGTGCCTGAGTGGCTTAATCAGTTAGGCAGCAAACTCTTGATTTCAGCTCAGGTCATGATATCTGGGTCCTGGGATCGAGCCCCACATCAGGCTCCATGCTCAATGAGGAGACTGCTTGAGATTCTCTCTCTCTTCCTCTGCCCCCGCTTATGTTTTCTCTCTCACTCTAAAATAAATAAATCTTTGGGGCGCCTGGGTGGCTCAGTGGGTTAAGCCTCTGCCTTCGGCTCAGGTCATGATCCCAGGGTCCTGGGATCCGAGCCCCGCATCGGGCTCTCTGCTCAGCAGGAAGCCTGCTTCCCCTCCTCTCTCTCTCTCTCTGCGCCTCTCTCCCTACTTGTGATCTCTCTCTCTGTCGAATAAATAAATAAAATCTTTAAAAAAAATAAATAAAATAAAATAAATAAATCTTTAAAAAAAAATTCACCCTAGATGTATAATGGAGAATAGGAGATTGTAGGCGAGCAAAAAATAAAAAGGGAGATCAGATTGGAGGCTACTGTACTAACCCAAGCTAGAGATATTGATGATCTTGGCAGCGGTGGTGGCCAGAGAGCAGAAGTAGATGGATGTGGGTGTGTTTCGCAAGTAGAACCCACAGATCTTGCTTACGATTTGCATATAGGAAATCGAGAGAGGAATCAAGGATAGCTTGTGGGCTTTTAGTTTGCATATCCTCTTTAGCTTAAGCAGATGATGGTGCCTTTTCCTTGGAGGTGGGAAAGCCAGGAGTGAGAGGGGGGCAGTCCTGTTTTGACCATTCTGAAGTGTGTTATTAGATACCCAAGTGGAATTGTAAGGGGGCAGTTGGAAATATACTTCATATTATCATATTTAAGTTGGCCTGTTGATTTTCTGCCAGTGCCAGGTTTAGCCTCATAAACTTCAGACGCCGATATTATTTGTAACTGAACACTGCTTTTATCCGTGGGCAGCTAGATTTAATGCCGACAGTTGGACAATTGAGACTGATAACATCTGCCTCTTTCTTCCTGTTTGTGCCTTCCTTTGTGTACCTCTGAACTCCTCATTAGATGATCAAGAAATTCCAGAGCAGGGAAACTTGCATGGACGTCTTTGAACTCCCCGCTTAGAGTTACAGTTATGGAGGGAAAAACTCATGCTACTGGATAAAAGTGAAAACGAAGATCTGCTTCTTGACTAGCATACTTGGGGGCTGTATTACAGATTGGTCATCCCTGCCCTCTGAAGCCATATTTTTTTTTAGATATGTGTTTTATTTTACATTCAGCCATTTGTGTGTGTATGGGTATGAAGAGGGCATGTGAGTGCTCCTAATGAAAACTGTCTTTAGTTCTTTCATAACGAGGATACATTAAGTCATTACTCTTCCTCCATGATCGTAGTTTTGCATGTTTCTTACCACAAGTTCTATTTCTAAAAGCATTTAAAAATGAGAAAGGATTGTGTATCAAGTATTGTCATACTCTCTGTGAACCATACGTAACATGTTCTGTTTAACAAAAAGATGGTAAGATGGGGGAGATGATGGTGCAGCTTGTAATGGGATGGATAGGCTTTTACTAATTGGGGCAAAAACCCAATGGATTTGCTCATTTCTGGACTCTAGTAATGTTCCCTGTTGCTTTGGGGAAAGGATTTCACAGCTTTTCTGTACTGGGCAAGGAAGGAACACTGTCCCATATCTTCAAGACCCTAGTAGCCATGGCATATCTTCCATGGAAAGAACATCTCAAGCCACCTTTATGTCCTAGTTTCTCAGCTACTTTGTTAGGCCTAGGGAGGCAGCCATAGGTCTACCCCTGTGCTCAAGTGGGATGCCCAGTAAGCCAGGACAACAGCTAGTCAGCACATCCCTGAATTTGTTCCCTTTGGGCTGTCTACTCGGCCACAGCGCCTCATATACTAGAAGTGTTGAAATTTGCCATCTCATCAGTAGCACTGACTCTCAAGGATGGCTTTTTGGAAATAGTGGAGCTGTGAGATGCTTTGAAGCCCAGGGACGTTATTTCTGAATGGAGAAGAGAAAAAGGTGTTCCAGAGGTCAGAGGCAACAAACCAAAAACCATGGAGTCCAAAGTGAAGTGACTGGATGATATAGGGATTGTTGACAAGTTCATGAACGACTGTGGTAAGCCAGTGACTTCTGAAGTTACATTTGGCCAGACAGGCATCGTTTGTCTGTGGTCAGCAGATGAGGGAGACCGTTGGCACCACTGCACGTTCCCGGAGCCGTGGACCCCCACGGAGCACGGCTGTCTGGAGAAAGCAGAGGATCCAGCAGGTCGCTGTCTGTTAATAATTTCCCCAGACATTCCTATTGCTGCACATCCATGACTGTTTAACATCTGGTTTTTTTACTATTGCATAAAGTTTCATTTTAGTCTCTGACGGTGTGTATTTCAGATTTTCTGAATACCTCACATTCTTCCTGTTTTGTATGCAGCTTAAATGGGAAGGTTGCCTCTTTCTAGGAGGAGGATGGCTTTGTCCATATTGGACCTTAATGGTTCCATCGGACCTTCGTGATGGATGAGGAAAGGACATGGTTTTTGTTTTATATGTTGAGGAATGCATTGTGACCAATACCCATAGATCTAGAGAGAAAAAGAACTTACAGGAGTTGCCTAACGTAAGACACCCCCCCCCAAAGTAAATCACCTTGGAAGGTTTTGCTTTCATTTCTCTGAAAAAGCAAGTATCTGAAGGAACTCAAACATTTTACATCAGCTCATGTCTGCATCCTCAGGGTAAAATAGGGAGTCAAGTGAAGAATTAACCAAAGCAGAAAAACTACCAGCAGTCCAGAGGACTTAGAGACACAATGAGTTTTTTTAAAGAATAGATTTTTATAAGGGTTGAAGCATGTTTTAATGTATTTAAAGAGTGTATAGACCAATGTCTATAGAAGCCAATAACAAGCTCATCAATTAATTTCCTGTTTTGGTTTCTCCCACCAAAGATCTCATTTTTATGTTCTACGGAGGTTTGAGATTCAATTCAACATGATGGGTTTTTTTTTTTTAATGATGTATAGTAGACACACAATGTTACATCAGTTTCAGGTGTAGAATGTAGTGATTGGGCAACTCCACATTATGCTACACTCACCGCAACTGTAGCTACCATTTGTCACAATGCAACACTATTACAGTACCATTGGATATATTACAGTATGATGGTTCTACCATATGTATGTGCATATACAGATAATGTAACGTTACCAGTCAACATTTATTATTTCTCTACTAGGTGCCAGAAGCATTGCTGCTTCCATAAATATCTCATTTACTCCTAATGACAAACCTGAAAGTATTCATAATTATCCCCACTTTAGAGGCAAGGAAAGGGTTTTAGGCATAAAGACTTTCATCAGTACTAAGTGGCAGAGCTGGGCTCAAATTAGTTGACGTCTCCCAGCACCAAGGCCTATCTTTGCCTTCCTTTCATCTTCCTTTATTAATTAGTAGCCGTGTGTAAATAAATGGAACCCAGACACAGCCAGTGTTTACACACACAATGGTGTCCGGGTTTCAGGCAGAAGAAGCTTTATTTAACAGCATCCCGGTCAGGAAATTGGATAATCACTTTTGCCATCCAATATTATAGCCACTTGCCACAGGTAGCTATTTAATTTAATTAAAACCAAATGAAGTAAAACATTTAGCATCTCAGTTGCTACTACCCACATTTCAAGCACTCTATAGCCATATGTGGCTAGTGACTCCCTGTTGGATTGTGCAAATATAGAACATTTCCGTCATCATAGAACATTCTGTTAGACGGGACTGGCAGCTACAGACTCCGATCCAGCACACAGAGCTTTTTCTTCTGCGGTCATCTGCAACACCTGTTGACAATTGATGGGTATTTGGCTTGACCTAACAGTTCCACTCTCCTGGGTCAACGCCATGTGTCTGTCCATATACTTCATAGTGTGCTCACTCTTTCTTCCAAGGAGGAAGTTGGCCGGATATGGAAGATGGAGCTGCTTAAAGAATCGGATGGGCTGGGAATTCAGGTTAGTGGAGGCCGAGGATCAAAGCGCTCACCTCACGCTATCGTTGTCACTCAAGTGAAGGAAGGAGGTGCCGCTCACAGGTGACTAGATAACTCTCCCTTTTTCTCTGCCTCCTCATCCTCTCCCTTCCCTTCCTCCGGGTGTAGGACTCTTCCACTTGGTCAAAGCCCTGGTAATTACGGTTCATATAAAATATGCTGGAGCATGGAAGAAAATCAGGCATGAGCAGTTCCAATTAAACACACCTCTGGGCACAGGAAGTGGGTAATTTGCTGGAGATGGTGCAGGCTCCTCTGAATCAGGAGAAGAAATCAGATTTCTTTCTAATCTGTTTTGAGTTTCAAGTGATGGCTACTTATCCTGACTTTTGAGATACTGGTAATATGTGGTTCCCTATTAAAATCATGCTACACAACAGAACACCACATTTCTGACATCTTAACCCCCATAAGATCGTGGCTAATGACTTGAGAAAGTAATTGCTTTTAAATGTGACCGCAGTTCATGTGCTGTGTCAGGTCCACCAGGATTCAACACACAGTTATATACGTGTGTCATGGAGATGCCAAGGGGAAAAAAGTAAATGTGAATTTTTCTTCTTGTGACCTGAACAATTCATACTTCAAAACATGTTTTTTAATCTTAGCTATCGTCTTCAGTAGGAAGAATGACAGTGCTTAGGCAGAGCATGTACAAAGAAGTCCATTTGGAGTTATAAGGATGCAACTGTCCCAAACTGTACATATGCTTTTGCCTTGCTAGCTGATTGCTTCTGTGTATATGGGGTGTCTACTGTTGGCAAGGCACGCTGGGGTGGATGCACATGTGTGTGCCCTCACGTATGCAGTAGGTGTATAAAGGTAGAGTTTCCCAGATGAGGGAGGTAAACCTAGTTGGGAATTTGGGGTTCAGTCCAGGTACCATCATTATAAGGGGGATAGGGCAAACCAGAGTGGCGTTGGCCTGCCTTAGACCGAGACGGCTTTGAAAAATATATCTCATGAAGTGGACCTGAAGGAACCAGAGGCAAAGATTGGAAGACAAAGGAGAGGTCAAGGGTACAAACTATCAATGTGTGTCATGTCCCAATTCTAGTCTCAGAGTAAGATGCTAACAACTAGAGATACGAATGACTGCACTTGTCAGTTACCTGGGCAACAGTCATTATGGAAGGATTAAGACCTTAGTTTTTATCCAGAAAAGCATCACTAAATTTCCCACATGAGATATGCTTTGAGGAACTCCCATCAGATAACCGTTTTCCCACTAATCCTAGATCTTAGGTTCTAGCATGTCTTTGGAAAGTTGACAATTGGGAAATTCCTGTTCCCAGAGATAAACTTATATAGAACTGTTCTTGTCTGTTTTCTATGTGGGCTGTTTCTAGTGGGTTTCACCATTTTCTCTTCACCCTTAGCCTGGAGTTGTGTGCATGTGTCTCTCTGCTTCTGGAGTATATAATTCAAATGTGGGGCATTCTAGCTACTAACAGGAGATGAGACGAATGGAATTGAAAAGGGAAATAAGAAAAAGGAAGGGGGTAGGGATGGTCTTGAGTAAGTTCAAGAACACTGGTCAGAACTTTGTATTCTGTTTTAGTCCTGAATCCCTCTCTTTCTTGGTGGCCACCCACACGCCTCCTTGAGGTTCTCTGTTTGCTTCCTATTCCCCTTCTCTTTTCAGTCTAAGCAACTAAAAGGGTTCTTAGCATTTTTCTGCTTTAGGGATTGTTGAAGGACAGAAATCAGAGGCTATCAGAAGTCTCCGATGCCTCCTATCTTCGTGAAAGCCTAAATTCATGGAAAAGATTATAATGCATGCCCTAGAGAACTGAGAGGAAAACTAATGAGGGAGGAAAGGATGGAGAGAAGCTGGTTGATTTGCTGAAAGAAACCAAGGTGGAAAGAGTCGACACATTGGAGAGAAAGCTGCGTGAATCTAGGAATATTGCAGACAGGCAAAGGTCCCTGAGCAGCACCTTGGGTGTTGATGGAAAGCCTTCAGAGGGGATGGTGGAACCCTAGGCTTAGGGATCACCTCCCTCAGATTTCCTGTCCCATATTTAGCAACGGAGATGAAAAACCTTTGGCCCCTTTGGGATCATGGAGAACTAGACCATTGGAGGTTCAAGGGGAACCCACTGGACTGTTGATCCATCATGATTGAGGACACCTGCACGATGCCCTGGCAAGTGTGCCACCCCAGGCCCTTGACCCCGCCTAGTGCAGGCAGCCCCAGCCCAGTGGGAAGGAAGCTTTCAGTTAGTTATAATTCACTTTGGAGGAATAAAGGAACACATTTGTAGACCAGGTCTGATACCTGCAATAGCAGTCCGTTGGTCAGTCTGGTCAATTTTGTATTCATCCTCCTGAGGAAGCCAGGCTGTAGGATGGAAATGGCGGTGAGAGGCTCTATCCTCAAGGTCCTATAACTGCGTGTGTGTTGGGAGCGGGGGAACCACAAGCACACGCACATCTGTAGCACACCAGGTGCCACAGAGGAAATCTGGCCAGGGCCATGTCACCTGGAAAGAGAGAGGACAGCAGGTTAGAGAAGGCTTTCTGTTGAGTCTAAGATACCTTTGTCTGGGGCGCTTAGCTCAGACTGAGCTGCCAACTCAGTTGCGAGGACAGGATGGCGTTAGGATTGAGAATGGATGGAATGACTAGACTATCCAAAAACCTTGGGGGTCTCAATTCCTCTGTCATTGTGTCCCCCTGTACCGGAGGCATTTCATTAAGGTTGATGCAGGGAATGGTAGTGACTTAAGAGCTTGCTCGCTGCCAGGTGATCGTGTGAAATCATGGAGCTTCCCTAGGTGGGCATCGGGACCCAGCCAGACGAAAGGAAACGTCCCAGCCCAAACTATCACTGGCCATCTCTGCTTTTTCCTTAGCCTGATTTTAACTGTGCCCTCTCATGACCCTCCCCAGCTCCAGGAGAATGTCCCTTCTCAAGTCCAGAATATCTTGACAAGGGATTTTTTTCCCCCCATCTCCATTTCCTCAGGGACGGCAGACTGTCCTTAGGAGATGAGCTGCTGGTAATCAATGGTCACTTACTGGTGGGGCTCTCCCATGAGGAAGCGGTGGCCATTCTCCGCTCCGCCACTGGAATGGTTCAGCTGGTGGTAGCCAGCAAGGTAGGTAGTTTGTTTTTGGTTTTAGTTTTTAATATTTTTAATATTAAAATCGGTGGTGAATTTGGATTTGAGCCCTCCCCCCACACACTCACACACACTTTGTGCCACACACACTCACTCCACACCTACTTGCAAGTTTACCGGGGCCATTTAAATGGCCGTGATTCTCCAGGACAAGCCCATGTGAGCGGCCTTGAGCTGAAATATTTAGTAGATGGAAGAGCAGTAATAGGACTAAGGAAATGGGGTGGGGGGTGGTAGGGAGGACAGAAGGACAAGGTAGAGAGAGTAGCACCTCTTCCAGGGAGAAGCCAAAGAGGAGACATGGATGTCCACTGGGCGGCAGGGATGCAGGAAAGGTGTGGAGCTGCACCTCTCCCAGGTCCCGGAGGAGGAAAGGGTGCCAATGTCCTGGGCCCCCAGCATCCACTTCGTCCCCTGGTGTCACCAGCCTCAGTGCCCTGGATGAAGGCTGCAGGCTTCTTCAGTAGTGTGACCAGAAAGAGGAGGACCTGAGCCCACTTGCTTCTGCTCCACGGTCCCCTCTGCTGTTGATAAGACAGGAAAGCGCCCACAGGCCTCAGGAGTTAGTGCGAGGGAGCTACTAGGCCTCGTTCTCATGCATGGAAGCACTGATGGGAAGCCACCCCAGTCCTAACCCTTCACAGCAACACACTCTTGCCAGTAGGACTCATTCTTTCCTCATTATACCTAGTACTTTTTTGAACCTAACATCCACAGGTTTTTCTATATTTTCTCTCTTAGATTACAAGGTATGTTGCCTATTTTTGGAGTATTTAATAATTAGAATATTTTGAACTATCTGAAAAGTCTGTTTTCCTCCTTTTACACCTGTCACCAGTCTGTTAACCTGGACTCTCGGGCTTCCAACAGCAACACAGATCCTTGGCACAGACTTGGGAGGAAGGGTTGGCATTGAGGCCCTGGAGGCAGGGGTTGAGACCGTCTCCACTCACAGGCCCACTCCTCCCCTCCCAGAGATACCATGGGGCGCCCTGGTGTCTCCTCAGTAGGGACAGGAAGGGGAGCAGAACAGGAATGTTCCCTCTCAGTCTGTTGAATTCCATAAGAAGGAAATGCTGCAAGGGAAGGACAAGCAAGTTCCCTTTCAGCCAGAGGTGATGGGGTTTGAAAAGCACCATCGGGTCTTAAACACTCACACAGACTGAGGCCTGTGTTTGCACAGCCCACCTCCCCACAGTGTGTGGCTCAAGAATGGGGGGTGTGGGGTGGGGGGATTTCCTGCACAAGCATACCATGGCCACCAAACCTTTTTTCTATACTGACTTCTTTCTCCTGCTACTTCGGAAAATGGGGAAGAGAAAACCTTTTCTAGGTCAAGCTGTTTCCCACAAACACATGAACACAAAGAAATCATAAAATAAAAACAAAAAAGGTCCACTCATCACTTGCTTATACCATACATAAAAATAAATTTAAAAATGGATGAAAGACCTTAATGTAAGACAGGAAACCATCAAAATCCCAGAGGAGAGCACAGGCAGCAACTTCTTTGGCCTCGGCGGTAGCAATTTCTTACTAGACACGCCACCACAGGCGAGGAAAACAAAAGCAAAATGAGCTATCGGGACTTCATCGAGATAAAAATCTTCTGCACAGCAAAGGAAACAATCAACAATTAAAAGGTGACTTACAGAATGGGAGAAGAAATTTGCAAATGACATATCTCATAAAAGGTTAGTATCCAAAATCTACAAAGAACTTCTCAAACTCAACACCCATAAAAACAAACAACTCGGTTAAGAAATGGGCAGAAGACATGAATAGACACTGTACCAAAGAAAACATCCAGATGGCGAACAGACACATGAAAAGATGCTCAACATCACTCAGCATCAAGGAAATACAAGTCAAAACCACGATGAGATATTACTTCGCACCTGTTAGGGTGGCTAAAATTAACAACACAGGAAACAACAGATGTCGACGAGGATGTGGAGAAAGGGAAACTTTTCTTATACTGTTGGTGGGAATGCAAACTGGTGTAGCCACCCTGGAGAATAACATGGAGGTTCCTCAAAATGTTAAAAACAGAATTAACCTACAGTCCAGCAATTGCAGTACTAGGCATTTATCCAAAGGATCCAAAAATACAGATTTGATGGGGTATATGCACCCCAGTGTTTATAGCAGCGTTATCAACAATAGCCAAACTATGGACAGAGCCCAGATGTTCATCGACTGATGAATGGATTAAGAAAATGTGGGCCCGTGTGTGTGTGTGTGTGTGTGTGTGTGTGTGTACAATGGAGTATTACTCAGCTATCAAAAAGAATGAAATCTTGCCATTTGCAACGACAGGAATAGAGCTGGAATGTATTATGCTAAGTGAAATAAGTCCGTTAAAGAGAGACAAATACCATATGATCTCATTCATATGGGGAACTTAAGAAAGAAAATAGATAAGCATATGGGAAGGAAGAAAAGGAAAAAGAGAGGAAACAAGCCATAAAATACTCAACAGTAGAGAACAAACTGAGGGTTGACTGAGGGAGATGGGTGGGGGATGGGCTAGAGGGGTGATGGGCATTAAGGAGGACACTTGTGAAGATGAGGCTTGGGTGTTGTGTGTAAGTGATGAATCACTGCATTCCACTCCAGAAACCAGTATTGCGCTACCTAAAATGTAAATAATAATAAGTCGACTCATTGGTAAGCATAATTAAGGAGCATACAAGGGGGTTTTGAAAGCTGGTTTCCTGGATGATGCCTGATCTGTGATCTCACTCACTGGCTCAAAGAATGGACATTAACATGTATCAGGTATCCACAGGGTACAGGGGCTTTCTCCCTCTGATCTCATTTAATTCTTGAAACCCCATGAGAGAGGTATTAGTTCTTTTTATTCAGAAGATGACATTAACATCTAAGTGGTTAATTCATTTCCCTGGAGGTCACACAAGCAGTGGGGGGCAGAAACAGGTTTCATCGTGGACCCATAGGTTTCATCGTGGACCCGTAAGTTTCATGCTTCTTCCTGTACGGAAAGCTGCCTCTTATCAAATAAGATATGAAGGACATGGAGCCAATGGCATTAGAGAAGGGTAATGTGTTCCTGCCGGAGGCTTTGACTTTAGGGACATGCACTCGACCTACTGCCCTTGACCAACTGCACTGAGCAATAGGCCTAAAGATGACCAGACCGCAAAGAGGTGATACCCTTCATTTCTTCCCACAGGCTCCGCTCACGGCTAGGTGATACGTTGCTATAGCAGCTGCCCGCTGTTTGTTCCTAAACTGAATCCCCACCCTCTAAGACGCTCAACCACCTTGGAGAGAAAAGTCTTTCCACACCTCTTGGCATCCGTGCCTCTTTGTTACCCAACAAGAGCACGCAATCCAGAGTCTTTGTTTTGTCTTCACATTTGAAGGGGCGGGGAGAGCATTTGATTTGCTGAGTACAAAGAATAATAAAAAATGTAAATTATTATTGTAGGAAGTAGTCACTTTGTCACCAAACTTTAGGACATTGTTTTGAAAATATAACCATGACTGTCTTCGGGACAGGCTGTCTCATGTCTCCATACAAATAGGTTGTTTGCTTGTGCATAAGAGCTTAGAAAGGTTTTGTCAAATGAATGAAATCAGAATTTCCCAGTGTGCTTTGCTATCCCAGGAAGCACGTGCTATCCACACAGATTTCTCTCTCTCTTTAGCACTCTCAGATTTTATTAGCAAGTAATATGCATTTATTATGTCTATGTAGAAAACCTAGAGGAAAAGGAAGATAACATTTTCATAACACCACCAGTACTTCTACCCATTACCTGATCTGTCTATCCAGGCGTGTTTTCTATTTTTAACAGACTCAAGCACAACGAGACAGAATGCCCCTGGGCATCAGAGCCAGCACAGCCCTTTAAAAGTTGCGTGTCTTGAACAAGTTGTTGCATTTTTTTTTAAACCTTGGTTTTCTCACCCGGACGGTGAGAATCAGTAACTACTTCATGGAATGTCAGGGAGATTAAGTGAAATGTAAAAGCCCGAACAATGCAGCTGGTTGCAAGAAGCACTTGGAGAAACGGTTATCACATATTATGACACCCGGCTAATTGTTAACGTCCATTAATAAAATGATAATACTGTTTTTCACCTGCTTTTTCACTAAGTAGCATGCCATAAGAATCTTTCCGCATCAGAAAGTGCATTTCTGTGGCACCATTTCTAATGACCGTGGAGTCTTCTATCCTGTGGCTGTTGTGCCATTTACTCACGAGCTGGGACCTTCATCTCTTTTAAAAATTCGTTTCCATTAATGGTCTAGTAGAGCTGACCTCACAGAAGAGGGCTGAACTCACTTTTTGCTTCATAGCTTTTTCCTTCCCTGAGGTAGGATCTAACTATAGTATTCACACTTACTGACCTGACATGAAGGAGCTTTGGGTGCCTACAAGGTGGGACGCGTGTCAAACTAGTAACAAACGTCACTGTCACCAGGCGCCCACTCACAAATGGTCTTTAATAACACCCGTTGTTGAAGATGGGTGTCTTCTGTTATTCTCCTTTCTGTCAAGCCCCGGGGAATATGGCGACCAAAGCTTTCCACAGGCTTCCTTCCTTGTAAAGATGACTGGTGTGGGAGAAGGGAGGACACATTTCTCTCTTTTCTGGCCTCAGGTCAGCCACAGCCCTGGTCCCTGGCCTCCTGGGCTGTGCTGTTTCCTCAGAGAGTTCCTGGTGGCGGAGTGTGCCACCTCTGTGTGTGAGGATTGTCACGTGGCCCCAGCGACCTCGCCTGCCTCCCACCAACCCCTGTGACCCTGTCTGTGTGCAGGAAGGAAGAAGGGCTGTGGTGGAGGCCTCTTTATAGTCTAATCTTAATGAAGTCTGATTCCATGTATTTTGTTGACCTTTAAAAATTGTTCAAGGGCTGCTTTCTTTGAAGAGACGTTCGTTACCAGTCTCCACTGGCATGATTCAATCAACAGTCTAATTTCTTTCTAGTGAGCGTATGCTAGTGAGATGAGCCGTGGGGGGGGGGGGAGCACGTGGATATCAGGGCTCTGGGCTGGGCCTGGGGACACGACGAAGAGTAGAAATGACATTCAGTTTGAGGAACGCTCAGATAACCAGGAGAGAGAGGTATATTCAGACGTACGTGCCAGGTGACGAAAGAAACAGTAAAGGACATTCAAGAAGAAGGGAGAGGCGAACCGGATGCCTCCTGAGATGGTCCAGGAGGGCTTACAGGAGAGGGTGCTGAGCCAGGAAGCTGAGCTCGCTGGGCAGAGGGAGCTGCTGGTAGAAAAGGAATCCGGGCAGGGGGGAGCCTGGTGTGTTGGAAGGTCAGTATGGCTGGACTGGAAGGTGTGGGTTGGAGGGGAGGGAGGTGTGTTTGGAGCACTGGGCAGAGGCCGCAGCTCTGAGATGGTGGCCTGTCCGTGAGGGTGCTTAAACTACCCTGAACACACGGCAGGAGAGGATATCAAAGGACCTAAAGCTCAGGGAATTTGGACTGCCTGTAGAAATAGCTAAGAAACACAGATTTTTTCAGGGGAAAAAAAAAATTGGTTAGGGTTTAAATTGGGTCTCCAGCCCTGACATATGAAGTAACCTTACCAGTCTAGAAATGTGGAACCTACTTTCCCCTATGGCCTGTAGGTTCAGAGCACATGAGCACTCCCAGCGGGCTCTGCTGGGTTTTCTTTGACCCAGAGCTACTTGGTGCCACAGGGTAATTCACGACTCTTTAATTGTGTCCCCATAGGAGAACTCTGCTGAGGACCTCCTGAGGTTAACGTCTAAGAGTTTGCCTGATCTGACCAGCTCAGTAGAGGACGTGTCCTCTTGGACCGACAACGAAGACCAGGAGCCAAACGGGGAAGAAGACGAAGGACCCGGCTCATCTTCTGTCCAGGGAGCAGTAAGTGTCTCTGGTTTCCCCAGCTGCTGTGCTGGAACGATGTTTCCCCAAAGATGGTGATGGCAGGATCAGAGATAATAGCTTAAGACAGTAGGATAGAGACCGGCATGGGAGTGGGCCACAGGGCGTTCTTTTTATTTTATTTTATTTTTTAATCAGGATCTTCCCAGACAAACCTGTGAGGGCAATGATTTCCATTTAAGAAAAAAACACTGAAACTGGAAATGAGATGAGAGAGCAATTGCATATTAAGTTCACTGCACGTATCAATTTTTAGGACACTTAGTCATTCATATATACAGGAGGATTTTACTGCTACTTTTTGATGTAGTGTTTGAAAACAATTGGTTGTGAATTTAAACTTAGACGGGGAGATTGTGGTCGAAAGTGGAATGTTCCAAAAGCGCAAAGCTTGCTCGGGCAGAGAGGTGTGGATAAGTCTTATGGTTTTAAGGAAACCAGGACTCTCGCCAGGCTCTTCCTAACACAGCCTGTGCGTTTCACACCCCCATGGTCTGCTGCACCTGGCACGCGGGGTCAGGACGGCTTTTGGCAAACTGAGGTGCAGTGTGGCCCCTTGTTTCCTCCCTGGATCCCAGATCTGACAGATGTGGCATTTTTAGCGTCAGCTCTTGTTAGCTCTTGTTCCCCACCCAACCAGCCATGGGGTGAGGACTCCTGCCATTGGAGCCCCTTAGTCTTTCCCACCAGCGCTAAACCCAGGCAGCACGGGTGAGCATCGGAAAATTCATTGTGGTTATAATTAGGCCTCAGAAGACCAAAAAATGCATGTTTTGTTACATTTACATAATATGTAATTGTATGGCATATGTAATATGCCATAAAATGGCATAATAATATGCAATTTTATTTTAAGGAAGAAAATTTGCTTTTCTCCTTTCTTTTCGATCCCCGGACATCCAGGGCCACCGAGCATGGCTGTGCGGCTGTGGGCTGCACGTGTGTTACCTCGAAGCAGCGCCATTCGCTTTGTAAACATCATAGGCTTTTCTGTTCATTAGGACAATTTTCTGAAAGATGGCAATAAAGAGTTTTGTTCTAACAAATTCAATATATTGGGATAATTTTCCAGTCAAGGAGGGAAAGCCTCTCAAAGAAGAGATACCTTTTTGTAATTTGCCCACAGGCACTGTATAAGCCCATTGTTGATCTGAAACATTTTTCTAGCTGCTTTTCCTTCAAAAGAGAACTTTCTCAGAACAGTAACCTATAAAGTAAATAAATCAGAACTGAATGAATGAGGTTAAGGTAAACAGTTTAAAAACAACCGTGTGATTATTCCCATCTCTTTGTATTTTGACACCATTCTGTGGCTGCCCTTAATTTTATGTTTAGTAAGGGCAGAGACCAAACTAATTTTCGTGGCCTAGACTGCTTCTCTGACTCCTGCTTAACTTCTTGAAACTTATTTCTCACTGAGCTCATCATTACTCCTAAGCAACCACCACACCACCCTTCCTGTGGACCCTCTAGAAGACTGCATGCTTTTCTACCACAGGACCTTTGCAAATGCTATTTTCTCTCTCTTTCTTTCTGGAATCTTCTGCCTGAATAAGACGATTCCTATTCATCTTTGAATAGGAATTGAATTTGAATCATCTTTGATGATTCCTATTCATAGTGTTATTGCCTCAGAGAAACTTCTCCTTAATACACCCATGTATATTAAATCTCTTTGCCCTCAGCATGAGTAGGTGGCTGGCTCTCCTGTGAACCACTTGTCACACTTGGGTTTGTGATTATTTGATTAAGATCTGTTTCTCCCAACCAGTTCTAAATTCCATGAGGTAACGTGATGACTGGACTGGGGTCCCGATGAATCTCTAGAGTTTACCCGCTACATCTGGTACTGAGTTATAAATAACTAAATGAATTTAAAAACAAACAACAGAATGAGTGTTCATTGAATGCTAATGAAAATGACACCCAAATCTGACTGGATTTATCCACCGTAAGAATTATGGTTACTCCAAGATCCACAACTGACCACAGCATGGCAGCCTCAAAGGGTCCTTGGGTTCCTATCAACATTCTAGCCCCCTTAGGCAGGGGATGGTCCTTGAATAAGCCTTGAATGGACCTGAGCACCCAATGTCTTCTCCCCACCACCTCTTTGCAGATGACTTACCAAATAAAGGGTTAGTGTCCATATATAATGAACTTACACAACTCAACACCAAAACCATAAATAATCTAATTTTTAAAATGGGCAGAAGACATGAACAGACGTTTCTCCAAAGAAGACATGCAGATGGCCAAGAGACATTTGAAAAGATGCTCAACGTCATCATCATCAGGGAAATGGTCATCAAAACCACAATGAGTTATCACCTCAACCCTGTCAGAACGGCTGAGGTCGAAACAACACAAGAAACAAGTGTTGGGGAGGATGTGGAGAAAGGGGAACCCTCACACACTATTGGCGGGAATGCAAATGGGTGCAGCCACTTTGGAAAAACGTTAAAAATAGAACTACCATATAATCCAGTAATTCCACTACTGGGTATTTACCCAAAGAATACAAAAAACACTAATTCAAAAAAAAATACGCATCATTATGTTTATTGTAGCATTGTTAACAACAGTCAAATTGTGAGAGCAGCTTGAGGGTCATCTGCAGATATCTTCTCCCATTCAGTAGCTCGTCTTTTAGTTTTGTTGGCTGTTTCCTTGGTTGTGCAGAAGTTTATTTTGATGAAGTCCCAGTAGTTCATTTTGGCTTTTGTTTCCCTTGCCTCGGGAGACACGTCTAGAAAAATGCTGCTGTGACGGATGTCAGAGAAATTACTGCCTGTGTTCTCTTTCAGATTTTTAGGATTACAGGTCTCACATTTAGGTCTTTAGCCACAAGTGTGTGTGTGTGTGTGTGTGTGTGTGTGTGTGTGTGTGTGTGTGTGTGTGTGACGCGTGTGCGTACGTGCGTGTGCGTGTGTGTGTGGCATAGGAAAGTGGTCCAGCTTCATTTTTTTGCATGTTGCTGTCCAGTTTTTCCAACACCATTTGTTGAAGAGACTCTCTTTTCCCCATTACATATTCTGGCCTCCTTTGTCATTAATTAATTGACCATATAGTCATGGCTTTGTTTCTGGATTTTCTATTCTGTTGATCTAGGTGTCTGTTTTTGTGCCAGTACCATACTATTTTGATCACTACAGCTTTGTAGTATATCTTGAAATCTGGGATTGTTGATCCCTCCTGCTTTTTACTCCTTTTTCAAGATTGCTTTGGCTCTCTGGAGTCTTCTGTGGCTCCATGCTATTTTTTGGGTTATTTGTTCTAGTTCTGTGAAAAATGCTGTTGGTATTTTTATCGGGATTGCATTAAATCTGTAGATAACCACATATATATATATATTTAAGATTTATTTGTGGGGGAGAAAGAAAGAACATGTGTGCATATGGGGGTGAGGGGACTACTGGGGAGGGGCAGAGGGGGAGAGGGACTCTTAAGCAGAAGGATCAACACAGGGTTCGATCCCACAACCACAAAATCACAACCTGAGCCGAAACCAAGAGTCAGACTTAACCAACTGCACCCCCTAGATGCCACAGCCCATGCGTATTTTTAATTGATCTTATATTAACTTCTGAAACTTGGTAGGATCTCAGTGATATAATCATGAACATTTCCCCCATGTCACTAAAGGGGCTTCTGAAGCATGATTTATAATGGCTAATATTCCACAACATAGAAGTGCCATAGCTTATTTCACCAGTTTTCTACCAGAAATTGTTTTCATCAATCACATGTATATTTGATTTTTTCAAAGTTATAAAGAATGCTATACAGAATAGCTTCACCCATATACCTCTGTGCACATTTTTTTATTTTCCTATTTTCTTAAATAGCTTAAGCACAATTGCATAGTCAAAGGTTTTCTCCAGAGAGGTTATTTATTACTAATTTAGTGATCTAGCGGTGGCCAGTTCCCATCATCACCAATAACATTATCTTGAAAAAAAAGGTTTACCAATTAATCATATTGCTTTGTATGTTTATTGTAGTTCTGCCAAACGCATGTCAGTGCGTTATGTGAGAACATAATTTATTTGGGAAACCCAGCACTAACTCTCCACAAGTCAGTGTTTCAGTGCCGTCCGTTAGGAGACCTCCATCACATTACCTGGGGCTTTCATAGACAAATCCCAAATCCATTATCCGTTGAAACCCAAACTGATCCTGCCTTGACAGTTCTCCCTTCTCGGAGCCTCAACACCACCTCGCACACTTGGCCTTCTGCTCTGCTTCTCTGCAAAGCACTCCCCGAGGGGGGACACCTGGGTTTCTCCCTGGCTCCCCAGTAATGCCGCAACACCAGTCACGTGTCACCGTCCTCTTGAGCTCTGGCTTCAGCCAGGAGAACAGAGGCCGAGACAGAGCCCTGCAGGACCGGCTGGAGGGCAGCTGATGCGAAGTACTTTCCGGACCTCACGGTGTGCCCAGGGTCTGCCCCATAGTGCCTTACAAATGTACTGAACCACTGTGGGGAGAAAAATTCCCTTTCTCCGTTCTATGTTTATAATCCAGCACCTCTGTTTCATCATTTTTTAAATACGAATGCGCTATTTAAATGAAAGAAACCTGGTGCTGTTTAATCAAGTTCAAAAGCCTTTTATTTCACAGATGATAATGATTAGACCTGCTGCCAAACTGCACTCAGACGTTGACTGGTTTTGCACCTGTAAGTCACGGTGAGCTCCAAGCACTTGGCTGAGCGAATGTAACACAAATGCTAAGGTTGTGTGATGAACACCCTTAGGATTTACTTTTCATGGCTGCGATGGACAGCAAGGAGATTTTCCTTCCAAAACGGTCCAGCTGTGCTTGGAATGAAACCACATGGTGGATATCAAATTTGAGGAGTAGAGGCAGGGAAAAGGGAATGGGAGCAGGACAGTGAAATGCTATGGTCATTTGCATAATTGTCGTCCATCTCAGAGGGGTCTGGCTTCAGTGACAGGGCTCCCTCTCCACCATCA